GCTTTCATCAGGGCCCTGACGATCCTTAAGCTTAAGATGGAAGACTGGTGCTGGGAGCACTGGCATGGTTCACAGGCAGACAAGTGCTTAGCCGATACTAGTGTTTTTAACTGCCGGCTGGTTAGGGAAATCCATCACCAGGAGGGAACAGCACTTTTGAAAACGAAACAAAGCAGGATGGAGTGGAGTGGGCTGAAGTGCAATGGAGTAGACAGTAATGGAGCAGGGAGGAAGCACAGGCCGCACTTCCGGAACCTTCACTGGTCATTTATGTGTGTGTACGGCGATTTGCAATGTAAATATATTTCTGCCTTCTCCAGTGTAGGTCTTGGCAAAACAAAACAACAGCAACAAATGTGAAAGCCAAGCCCAGAAGCCTATTTCTCAAACTCACTTGGTACAAAGCAGCCCCTGGGGAGAGAGTGAGAAGCGCGATTTCCCAAGCTCTCCCTGGACCTTCCGATTGGGTCTGTTCCCAATGGGCTGGAATTTTCTGCCGCCTTCTTCCTCTTTTTCTTCTTTTCCTTTTTTTTTTTTTTTTTTTAAATAACAGCTTTTTTTTTTTGATTCTAGTCAAGTGTGTATATGGGGGTGCAGGGCACTCCCCTAAAAGCACCTAGCTGAATTTCGAGGGGAAGCTAAGAGCTCATTAAAGTTGGCAAAGCTGCAAAAGCAAGACATGAACACCAAGCAGCAAAGCGGCAGACTGTGAGCTCGCTGACGATGACCCGGGAGGATCCATCATTTTGCCCCTTTCAGCTTATTTCCAGAAACTACCAACGGGCCCTTTGCAGAGCAGCTGCCTTCCTTCATACAAGCTCTTTTTTTTCCAGACAGGGAAACTGAGGCTCAGCTCCCTGCAGGAGGCAGGTGGGATTTGAACCACATCCTTTGACCCTGCGCCTGGCTCTCTGCAGCTGTCATTCCTGCCCTCAGATGCTGGAACTTTCCAACAGACTTTGCTCCGTCTCCTCCGCCAGCAGCCCCTGGGCCCTTCCAGCCTCTGTCATGCTCCCTCCTGACAGAAGATCTCTGGGGACACACCCGTCAGCAGGGAGAGCAAGAGGCCCGTCCCCCATCAGGGTTTCCTGGGTTACCTGTGGGGGATGAGCCTGGGGACTGGGTGACAGAGTCGCCTCTCCTCGGCTCTCATCCACCTCAGGGAGGGGACCCACGTCCTCTAGGAGACCACAGTGGCTCCTTTGGTGCACAGCAGATCCCCTGCTTCCTCTCCAACGAGGGGTTTTTGTTCCAGTGCCACGAGGCTGGAGAGGAAGGGCAAGGGGATCCTCCAGGCAGATGCATCAAGTGGGAGCATGAGGCTGCTTCTGTGTACCCTCTGCACCTCAGTTTTCCCATCTCTGAAAAGGGAACAGTGACAGTCATCTTGGATCCACCCTGCCAGGTGCTGCAGGACAGAGTGCATGTGAACTTTTCACATGGGTGAACCTAGCACCTCCTCACTCAGGGTCCTGCAGGCGCAGGTAATGACAAATAGTTTCAGGACGTCCATGGAATGTCAACAGCACGCAGGAGCTCCTGGGTGCACTCCCCGCTCACCCCAGCTGTCTCCAACGTGCATTGAGGGTTCCGTGTGCAGGAGGGTCACGCCGTGGCTCTTTCCCGCCTTCATCATAGATATTTGTTCGGAGCCTACAGCATGCCGAGTACCCTTCTAAGCTGCTGAGCAAGACAGATGGGGTCCGTGCTCTTGCCAAACTCCTCCCTCGCCTAGTGGGAGACAGATAGGAACAGTAAGGTAGGAGGCAAGAATAAGTCTGAGAAAATAAGGCTGGGCAGAGCGGTGGAGTCAGATCAGGCATCACTCCGGGCACCGCCGCTCTCTGGACATTATGAAAACGCAGCCGTGACCTTGGGAAGAACGCCCTTCACCAAGGGCCAGTGACTCGGAAAGCTTCTCTTTATAACTGCACCAGGCCCCTTGGTCCCTATCCAAGGTGTTATGGCTCACTGTGACGAACGAGTGTCTCAGCCCTCAAAAGAAGACCAGGTGACGGGACTGAGAGGGCACCTGATGGCACCAAGTACCTGTGTTTA